CAAAATTAACGAAATTTTTAAAAAACAAATTAACGGAAATTTTAAAAAATAAATTAAAAATTTTATGTAACATTTTTAGTCAAAAAAACCCCTCTACATTAGCTGCCTACGAAGCGGAAGTACTCTGATGTAGAACAGAAGAAGTAGCAAGTGCCAAAAGCGACCACACGCTGTCGATGGCATCCTCTTCCAAGGTTGCCTACAAGCAATCTGATGGCGGATTTCACTCCGAGGCATATGCCAGTACCAATTTACCATCAAAGCGAATGGATGAATCGTTAAGGCTCGAGTTTTTGCATGATATCAGTGCTATTTCTCACTGTGCCATGGCTACTCGTAAACTAGAAATATTCCGTAAATTCAAAATTTTTAAATAAAAAAAATCTTCCATCTTGTTCTTCAAAATGATTGTGCCTCCCCCCCCCCTCCTTTCAACTATCTTTCTCTTTTATTTCTAAAGTAAAAAGAAAAGTACGAGGGTCGAAGATTCCAATGGATGTCAGGTTCGCTAACAGGTGCTCGCCAGATGATCCAGCAAATGTCAGAGTAAAAATCCTATATTAAAAGTAGAAAAACTTACTTCTTTTTCGTTTCCTGTTCTCTTCCAGTCGTGCCAGCATCTGATCTTTTAAATCTTTCTCCATCTTTTTCGCTTTTTTCTCATTATACACAACGCCCTTATTTGGTACAACAATTAGATTTAACCCTGCAAAAACAGCAAATTAAGCAGCTGCAAATCAAAAATGAGCTCCTGTAAATCCTAACCCTGTAAAGAGCAAATTCATGGTTTCTGAATTAAATTTTTCTGATGTCCTCGACTTTGCATTTTTCAACTTCACAGCGCAGCCACCGCTGGCCTTCCTCACCTGATTAGTAAGCCCTTTATTGATATACCATTTTTTACCCGGAATAAAGTAAGGCTTTCTGAAGGGGCAAAGGAGGAGGAATGGAGAGAGGAAAAATGCAAGTAGGGCAACGAAAATCGCATGATCATCAAAATTATGCTAACCTTGGATGCTGGCGATCACTGGTTGACGATAGACATCGCTCCACGGAATTTTCAGTACCAGTTCCGTCAGGTAACCGAATTTCAATTTTATCGGTAAATCAAACTCATCCAACGCCGTCTCCTTCACTTCCAAATTCGTCAACTTTACGTCGCCTAAATTACAGCAAAAAGTACTTCAGTTTTTGACAGCAATCCATAAATAATCTTGGGCTCTCATACATTTTTCTTGTACTACAGGCCTCTTTTTTGCTATTCATTTGGTTAAGCCCTAATCAAAAACTCCCATGGCACTATGATTTCCATGGTGTTTAATCATGTTTTCCATTCTGTTTAACTACGATTTCTATGATATTTAA